AAAGTATCATTAAGAACTCACGCATCTGAACATTTAACAAAGATTTCAATCTGTTTTAATTGTTATCTTATTAGAGCACATTTGTTTTCTATCTTCAGCCAGTAGGAACCTCTTCAAGTTGATTTTCTGAGTCCTGAGATTGATATTACATTTAATCATTAAAGCATATCTCCGATACTCAAGCCTTCTAACCAATAAATAGGAATGATAGCTTTTAGTATTTGTTCTGTTTCCTTGCTTTGCTTTTTCAGGTTTTCCTCTTACCTCTGTGTTGGATCTTCTTTGCCTCTTCTCAGTATTTGCCACTTTCTTTTTTTTTCTTCTTTTTTATTTGTGCAGTGTTCCCTCCCCTCCCTTTCCACTCCTGGTAACCAACAAAGTTTCCTTCCATATATAAACCTTTCCGTGACTTTTTATGGGAACTCTAGTGGTGCAGTGCCTAAGGCATTTGACTGCTAACCAGAAGGCTGATGGTTCAAACCCACCAGCCACTCCTTGGAGGGAAGATTGGGCAATCTACTTCCGTAGTGATACCTCTACAGAAACCCAAGGAGGGGTCGCTGTGAGTCAGAACCAACTTGACAGCCATGAGTTTGGTTTTGGTTTTTTTGAATGGCCTCCAAGTTCATCCATATTATGAATGTCCTCCAAGTTCATCCACAGTATGCGATGTGTTGTAGGTTCTACATTATTCTTTAGTGTTGCATGGTATTCCATTGTGCGTATGTATCATAGTTGGTTCTCCCTTTCTACCTCTGGGATGGCTCACTTTAAGCCTACTGGGATAGCAAAACTGACCAGTCCCCTCATTAGGGTTCCATATACCTTATTAGCATTGTCCCACCCTCACAAGGGTATCATGTACCTTATTTGCATTATTAACAAGCTTTCCAAGCCCCTGCATGGGCCACAAGCACGTATTTGCGTGGTCCCACGCAGTCACTTGATGCAAGTTACAAGCCCATGGCTGTAGAGGCACATGAAATTGAACTATTGCATGACCATACTGCAGGATTTGTTTATAACACTTGTTCAAGATATTTGTTTCAAATTGTCTCTTTTACTATTATCTTTATCAAGTGTTAGTAGTATAGTTATATTGGCCTTATAAAGTGGATGGGAAATGTTTCCTCCTCTTCCATTTTCTGAAAGTATTTGTATAAGATTAGTGTTATTTTTCTTCCGTGTTTGATATCATTTGCTAATCGAAAAAATGGGCCTGGGATTTTTTTGGGTGGGATTCAGTTTATTTAATATATACAGGAGTGTGCAAATTTTCCATTTTATCAGGTATCACTTTGGTTAACTTGTATTTTAAAGGATATTTTCTATTTCATCGATGTTGGAATAACATTTTCATATCTTTTTAATCTCTGCATGATATGTAGTAATAACCCATTTTCATACCTGAAATTGATGATTTGTCTGTCCCTCTTTTTGGCTTGGCCATCTATATGGACCATTTCAGAGAATCAGCTTTGACTTTACCAGTTTTCTCTATTGTCTGTCTGTTTTCCATTCATTACTTTCTGATTTTGTATTTCTCATTTTCTTTCTTCTCCTTGGATTTACTTTTCTCTCCTTTTTCTAGCTTCCTACAGGTCATTCATTTTATATGTTTTTTATGTTATTATTGTTCAATATAATCATACAAAGCCATAACATTTTCTCTAAACATTGCTTTAGCTGCATCCCACAAATTGTGGAAGAGTGTAGTTTCATTATCCTTCAATTTAACATACTCTAACCCTTGGCTAGGAGCTTTGGTAGCGTAGTGCCTAAGGCACTTGACTGCTAACCAGAAGGCTGGAGGTTCAAACCCACCAGCCACTCCTCGGAAGGAAGGTTGGGCAATCTACTTCCGCAGTGATACCGCCTCAGAAACCCAAGGAGGGGTCGCTATGTGTTGGATCCGACTCGACAGCAGTGACTTTGGTTTTTTTGGTTAGTTACACATTTTGGGAGGAATACCACAGAAGTGATGTTAAATTCTTCTCTGATCCATTCAATCAGGAGAAGCATGCCACTGACTGACTTTTATTATTTGATTAATAATAGAATCAAGTCATGTAATGGCACTATTTCTCCGTTTGGAATTGATAAGCACCATGTGGGGAGAGGCATTAACATGCTGTAATTACCCACAATTCCCCATCAAGCCTTCACTCTCCCGTGTTAGCAGCCACTGATGATTTTTGCCCAGATCAGCTATCACTGATGGTTTCTAATGACTTTCTGTTTCCACCATTCTTTGCCTATGTATTAGTTTGGATTTTACTGTAAGGAAGGTCTTTTCCTTATTTGTGTCACGATGAAGTCACAGATTCTTACTTTATTCTATGGTTTCTCCTCTTTGACTATCATTATTTATTTTGATGCTGTTATTGTCCCAGATTAGGCTGACGGGAGCTCCTTCAATCTGACTCTGTGTCCAGTATCACCTTTTCATTTTTACTTTTATATACATATTTTCCTTATTATAGTAATACATGGTTTTTGTTTGTTTAAATCGTGTGTCTTTTTGTATTATTGTGATTTGGGTGAAAGTTTTAGAGAGTGAACTGGTTTTCCATTTAATAATTAATATGCATTTTGTTTTGTGACATTGATTGCAAACCCACAGTGTAATACTTCTTCCTTGTGTTTACCATTTCCCTCCATCCTTTTCTTTTATCCCTTCCTATCTTCTGAGCTTTATCTTTGAGCAAATGCTGCTGTTTTGTCCTCATTGAGTTGATATTTCTAATGAGTACGAACCTCTGTCAGGTTCACTTTATAGGCTTAGCTGTCATTTGGCTGAAAGTTGAGTCCTGGGGGTGAATTCAGTTCCAGGCTTGAAAGGGTATCTAAGGTCCGTAGTCTCAGGATTCCACCAGTCTCTATCAGATCAGTAAGCCACACCCCCTTTTTTTAAAAATAATTTTGACTTTTATTCCACATTTTTCTCCTACTCTATCCAGGACCTCCTAGTGTGATCCCTTTCAGAGTGGTCAGCAGTGGCAGCTGGGCACCATCCAGTTCTGGTCGGAGGGTCACGGAGGCTGGGGTTTACCTGGTCCATTCATCCTTTGTACTGAGTTCCCTTGTGCCTTTGATTTCCTTCATTCTTCTTTGTTCCAGATGGGGAGAGACCAGTAGTTGTTGATAGCTGTTCATAAGCTTGTAAGACCCCAGTCACTAGCCACCAAAATAGTATGTAGAGCACTGACTTTGTGGACTGTTACACCAGTTGACCTTAGTGTCCTCTGAAACTATGGACCTGAGCCCCCAGGCCCAGTGATTTATTTCTTCAAGGTGTTTGGTTGTAGCTAAGAAGTTTTTTTTTTTTTTTTTTTTTTTTTTTTTTTTT